TACATATGAGGTGCTTCATAAAGGTTTGTCGGGTGAATACAAATATCATGTCTTCATATCCTAAAAACGTTCTTTTAACCATGCTACCCTCTCACGCTACTGTCTGCTCCCCTTCGCTCTGTGGCCAGGCTTCTGAGAACACAGCTCTCTACTTCCCCGATCCCCTGCCATTCTGGGTCCCAGCCCTCCTGCTGCTGCAGGGTGTCCAGGGTGCCACATGCTAAAGACTCTGCCCTGTTTTCACCTCCCCAACTTCTCCACAGTATGCACACTACTCATAGCTCTTGACACTCACTCCTCTCTTGGCATTAAGAAAACCCAATCTCTTCCCCCCCCTTTTTTTCCTTCTGCCCCCTTTTTTTCTACCTGCCCCACCAGACACAGGTCTCCCCCAATGCCCTGTACTTGGCACCTTCTCTCAAGTTATACTCAGTGTTTAGGCAGCTTCTCTTTATGTTCATGGAATTTTTCAGCTGCTTTGTGTTTGATTCATCTGGGGCAGTATCACATAACCTAAAATACATAATCTTTTTTTCCATCTAAAAATGAATTACATCTGGCACTGATATCCAAAAAAGATTAATTGAACTTGGCCCATGAAAGCACACTGATCCTGGGTGATAGCTCTGCTGACTTGATAAGTCTGTGGACCCAGGAGCTTTCTGGATTCTTCAGCCAAGATTCTGAGTAAACTCGCAACACTCCTGCTGGTCTGGGTGACGGCCGTGTTCCTGCAGCAGCCCCATTGCCACCTCTGCTTTGAGGGTTCCCTTGTACCCCTCAGTAGTCATGGCTCTCTCCTAGCCACAGCCTCCTCTTGATGGTCGCTTTTACCTGCATGTCCCACAGGTCTCTAATTCACCCCAACCACACCAACACATCCAGTGCCCCGTTGCCCAGCTCTATTCCTCCTCCTTGGTCATAGTTTCACTCTCGTTTTTGGCTCCTCCAGCTCTTTCACTTCTCCCCTATCTAATGAGAACTTTTAATATTACTGATAAAGGACAGGACAGCTGCCAGGCCTTGAACTAAACACTTTGCATCTATTAGTTCACCCGATCCGCACAACAAACCTATAAAGTAGATATTAAATTGTCCCATATCTGGATGAGGCAACTGAGTCTCAGAGAGGTTATGTGCCTTGCTCAATGTCACCCAGCTAAAAAGTGGACAGGACAGAATTTGGACCCAGGTCTGTGTCAGGACGTGGCCCTCATGCTTACCCCTGTGCTGTTGATGGCTTTCTTTCTGGTATCGTAGAATTGGTGTCTTCTTTCCTGTTTCCACAGCATTGGTTTGAGTCCTCGTCACCTCCCTCCTGTATTCCTGGAGAAGCTTCTCCCCGGTCTCCCAGGCTCAGTCTCTCTCCTCCACCTCCATCCTGACCCAGCCCCCTTAACCAGAGTCTCCTCAGTCAGTCACTTCCTGCCCGATGGTTCCCTTCCATAGTGGGTATGTGAAGACTCCTCTCACCCACTCCCTTTCATGTATTCTGCCTTCTCAAAGCCTAAACAGCCTGCCATCCCTCTAATATCATGGCCTCTGCTACTTCCTGGCTTTACTCAGCTCCCCCGCCCCTCAGCCCAAGAGCAGCTCTTTGTTGAAATTCTACCCATACTCCTGCAGCAGTCAGTCTAGGTGAGCACTGGGTGGCTCTCAAAGCACTTTCCCTGCTTCACAGATGGGCGAGCTGAGGCCCACGTAGGCAAAAGTACGGTCCCAATGTCACAATTCTAATAAGAGGTGAAGCCCAGAGTAAATCTAGTCTTCTTAATTCCAGACTGAAGGTGTCCCAGACAGTAGGGTCTTCCCTGCCCACAGCATAATGTCCCCAGTGCTACAACCGTTCCTCACAGGTCCTGCTGTGAAGCTACCGACTTCCACTTGGCTGGTGTCCAAAAGCAAACTTCTGCCAGGGCACATCCCTTCTGGTGCTCAATACACTATCAACTACCCAGCAAGTACTCAACAAATGTTTACTGACAGCGAGGGAAGTGGTTTCAAGATCAGACCAGCCCTACTATCTGTCAGTTGATTCACTCACTTGGCCTTTCCCTGGGGTGGAAGGAGGGAGTGCTGCTCAGACTCCAGATGTCCAGTCCCTCAGAATCCTGCTGGAAAGTGAAGGGGCTTGTGGCAGATGGCTCACTTGCTCTAATCAGAAAATCTCCTTCATCTCACCTCCTGTGGCGGGCTCCCCCGGCTTTGGCAGCTACTGTTCCATAGGGCCAGGGTGAAGGGCACCAATCTTGCCATCAAAATGTGCCCTCCACTTGTCTCCTGGGAGCTCCCTGCCTGGGAAGTGAGTCAAAAGCTGCCCCCAGCTTAGAAATGGTACACTAGTCTGAAAGCTCTGGGAGGGCGCCACCTGGAGTTCAAAAGCCGCATTGCCAGAGAAGGCGAGAATTCCAGTGGCTTTACCAGGAAGACAGCCCATGGTGGTGGGTGGAGGACCAAAGGGAGAGAGGGTGAGGGTGAGGGGTGGGGGAAGGGAGACATGCACAAACACATATGTAACAGATTTTCTTTTTCAACGCAAAAATCTTCAAAATTTTTTTTCCAAAAAAATGAAGTATCGGTTGGGTAAGTTCACGGTGAGTGGTTTATCAACCCTTGCCAGAAAGCAGCATGAAAAAAAAGCATCAGGAAAAGGCTTATGCATCAGGGGTGGTGCTGGGGTTTGAACACCATCCAAAAGCAGGGGGGTCGACGAGCACCTTCGCCTCTGGCTCTGCCTTGCCGGTTATGCTAACTGGTCAGACCAGTCCAGGGAATGATTCTGCCCTGGTGGCAGGGTACAAGGACCAGGGTCCGGGGCAGCCACTAGCCTTGGTGCAGCCCCGTTTTGTGCTATATCTATAGTGGCGACTTCCTTCCACGGGCATTTTAAGTCACCACAAACCCATAAGTGGTAATACAGTGGCCTTATGGTGCTGACTACAGCTGTTTTCCTGCCTGGTAGTTTGTGGAGGCAACATCCCAGCTGCCAAGAAAGGCAGGGAGGAAGAAGATTTACTACCAGTGAGGGGGTGAAGCAGGCTACACCTCTGAGCTGGTAGTCATCCCAGTGGGACCCATCCTGGCAGAACAGAAGCCCTGGTCTGCCTGTTAATTATTAAACAGATGTTCAGAAACCCACAAGCCTCTCCTCAGAGAGCAGAGGGGCTTGGGAATGGCCTGCTGTGGGATGGGGGTGGCACTGGGCTGACAAAGTGACGCATCAGTGACAGGCCAGCAACCAGAGCAACAGCTTCTTTCGATAGCCACACAGCATAAGAGCTTCTGAGGTGGCTGTTGGGGATGACAGCATCTCTGCCTGACTGATAAATGCTCAGCAGAGTGCCCAGCACAGGCTCCGGTCGCCCCACCCACCTCCCTGCTCCCTACTAGCAACCGAAGTCACCACTCCAAAGATCTGCGCCCACCCCGTTCTATGGAAAAGCAGAGCTGAATGAGGCATACCCTTTCTGTCTGGGCTGTCAGGAAGCTCCAAGGTAAATGTCAGCGATGAAGTGAGTAGCCGACTGGCTTCCCCAGGTGGGACCATCACCACTGTGCTCTACACAAACAGCATCCCCTCCCGTCTGTTGTACAACAGAGCCCTCCCACCAAGGCCCTCCATGGGCTGCACTGGGAGGACATTTGAATCTATAGCATGTGACCCTGTTGGCTACTGTCCCCCAAACTTTCTGTCCCTTTAGATTTTGGGGCCAACCTCTGTAGCCAACCTCTGTAGCCAACCTCTTTGACAGCTGTCTCTTCCTCTTCTCTGGCCCCTAACTGCTCATCTTTCACAGTAGACTCTCCTTGCCAACTCTCCCACTCCTAGTTTCACCTCCAACCTTGGACACTTGATCTCCAGTCCAGACACTCCCCCAGGGCGTCCCTTGGGTACTTCAGCATCTCCCCATCTTTCGAACTGCTCCTCCAGTGAGGAGTACCAGATATCCAGGATAGAAACCTCTTGCCTCTCCCTCATCTCCACATGCATCGGTCACCAAGTCCAGCCAACTATATCTTCCCAATACCCCTTGAATCTGATCTTCCTCTTTCCCAATGCTCACTGCCCTAGTTCAGGACATTCATACCTACGTTCCCCATTTAAATCCACTCCACACTGCCACCGTGGCCCCCAGAGCAAGCTTTCACAAGTCTGACCAGGTCATTTCCCTCAGGAAACCCCATTCAGTGGCTTCCACTGCCCTCAGGAGAGTGGTCACTTCCCTCGTCTGGAAGCCCAGGCCCTGAACAAGCTCCCTCCCAACCTCGTTTGCTGCTACCACCTCTATTAGACTTGACACCCTGTGTGCTTCCCACAATTATACACGCCCTGCCTTCCTTCCTGAATGCTCATCCCCATATTCTGCCACAATCTGCCTTAACTGTTCCATTCCCTTCCCCACCCCAAGACTGGGTTATGTTCCTCTGTCCTGTGCTGCTCCCTGAGAGGGGACGTGGAAATCACCTGGGTCAGCCCCTTGATGAACTGCGAGGTCCTCGGAGACAGGGACTGAGTCTTGGCCATCTCTGTATCCTAAGCATTTGGCCCATCACCTGGCTCAGAATAGACATTCAATGGGCACTGGCTGAACTGACCTGAACCAGAGCACATCCATTCATCACTCTTGTAGATTCTGAAATTGCCTCTGGCTTTATTTCATACTGCCTATTGTAGGGTGTGTTTAATTTAACCCACTTCCCCCTACTGTGCTGGAGGAAGCACTTGAATAATACGGAGGGTAGCATTTAGGAAGGGTACCCTTGGAATGGCCTGTGCGTTACACACTTGCCCCCAGGTACCTCTTACCTTTCTCAGGGTCCTCCAGGCTTGAGCGGATGATCTCCACCACTTCCTCCATCTCTTCACTCTTGCAGACATTGAGCTGGACAGTTCCCAATCAATCACTCTTGAAGCTGTCCATTTCCTTGACCCCATCATCCCCTTTGTCCTGGGAGGAGAGAGGAGCTACTTCACCACCACCCCCCTTCCCACCCTGCCTCCAGGATGAGGACCAGGACCAAGCAGGGAGCTGGCTCCAAGTCCCTGCCTAAGCCTGGGGCTATTAACAACTGCAGGCAGTTGTCTCTGGAAGCACACCCAGACCTGCTCCACCAGCAGGGGGTTCTGCTCAACCCCTGAGCACTGGTGACATACCTAGCACAAAACTTAGAGCCACAGACACAACCCAAGGCCTCACTGGCAGGATCCTTTCCCTGAGCAGAGGTTGCAAACTCAGTACCTACTGGGGCCAGACATGTGCGTATAGCATGAGAGGGAGAACACTCAGGAGTGAAGCACATCCTGGCTTTTCAACCCCTGCCCGCTGTTGCCCACATGATATGCAAGACCAAGGTTGCCAGGTACTAAATTTTTAAGCTTGTAATTGAGATTTCTGTATGAAATCGCCTAATTTTTTAAGTGCTGGTAACCTGTTTGCATTAAAAAAAAAAAAAACCAATGTGTGAGCCAAAGCATACCCACAGGCCTCATGTGACCAGCAGGCTGCAGTTTGCCACCTCTGTTCTAAGCCAAGGTCCTGTCACTCCCAAGTTGGTAAGAGGCCAGGGCCAGCCTCTGCATCCAGTTTGGCCACTAACCAGGCTCCGTGCACTCAGGTGCACCCCTTAACAAGTGCCCAGTTTTTCCAGCTATGGTTAGACATAAGGACATTGCACCTGTCTTGACCTGCTCAGGTTAATGGAATGAGGAAATTATTTTTTAAAAAACATGTTAAATGATAAAACGCTATGCAAATTCAGGTACTATTACACATGAGAAAAGTATCGCTCACTCAGTAAACATTTCTTGGGCCTCTATCATGTTCTAGCACTGTGCTAAGAACTGGAGACACGAAAATAAATAACTCAGCCCCTGCTCTCAAAGTTTCACATTTTAGGGAAGGAAGCAGATGAGTAAGCAAATAATACAGGAGGATTGTGGGAGGCAGGGGGCTGCACAAAAGGTAGGGCAGATAGAGAAGGCTTTCCAAAAGCAGTGACAGCTGAGGACATGGACCAGAGGGACCACTGGGGAGGGGCACTTCAGGCAGAGGTAAGAGGTACTGCCAGAAACCACTGCAGGCAGAGCAGAGGCCTGAGGAAGTTGTGGGAAATGAGGCTGGGGAGGTGGGCAGGCATCTGCGTGGAGGCAGTGGTGAGCTGCTGGAAGATCTGAATAAAAGTAGATGTCACTTATTGAGTATTTACCCTGCTTCACACTGAGCACTTGACATGCATTATCTCATAAGTCCCTCATGTCATGAGGCACGTTGTATTATCATATTTTACCTATTCTATGATACACATATTTTTCACAATAGGAATGAGCTACAAATGATGTGAAAAGTAAATACTGTCAGCTATAATTTAATTGGCAATGACTTTCTCAGTGGTACCTGGAATAGTGATGCATCTTACAATAGGACAGGAGTAGCTGTCAGAGGATGAAGTAATAGAGGAATGCCTACTCTTAGGCCAGGGCTTGCCTGGGGCACCTACAACCAGTAATGAAGCAAGGACCAGAGCAGGAGGTGTGAGGATAATCAGCATATGTCAGCAGTGGAAAGTTCTCTACAGGTTAGGCCAAGTCTCACAGAAAAGGTTTAACCAGGAAGACCCGAACCCCAGGACTGGGGGACCCTGGACCCACATTGTGCAATGTCAGACGGACAGGAGAGAACAGTGAAGGGATCATGTCGAATGGGGCCAAAGGTGCTTCTCTCCATAGTCACTCTGGAGAGAAGACTCAGGGAGAACATGATGATAGTGGAGCCAACCTGTCTTATGCAGCCCAGAAAACAGAACCAGGGCCAGGAAGTCAATTTCAGTTCAAAGTGAGGAGTGACTTTCACTGTCTGGAGATAATACGGACTGCTTGAGAGATGTTCAAAAAATGAGAGTGGAGGTAGGGGTTGGGACTGGGTGGGGAACATGTTGCAGACAACACCCAGGCATCAGACAGGAAGTCAGGCTGATCCCCCTCCTCTGATATCTCTTCCACCCCTAAAGTATCATCCTTTCCTGGGAGCCCTCCTCCCTCCTGCCACAGCGGCCGTGCTGAAGCAGCAACATGTGCGGCCCTTTGAGTCTCTGTCCAGCCTGGCACCAAGAATGGCAGCCACACTCACAATCACCTTTGCACAGAGCAGCCAGGTGCAAAGCCTCGACTGATCCAAGGCTTGGCTCTGAAACGCCCTGGATGTGCCAACCTTCCCAAATGACATGGCAGTGTTCCAACTACAGGGGAGCAGACAAGTGTAGAGCTTTTCCTGCCATTCTCACAGAGGACTCCCCAAGAAAAGAACTCCCTGTGATGCCATCTTCAAGTCCAAAGGTCAGAGGGGCTGGTGCCATAGACACCTCTCTTTTCCACAGACAGCACACAGGCACCAGGAAAACACCTGCCTTGTTTCAATGCAGTCTTCATATTGTGGCTCCTCAAACACCCCTCAGAGCTGAGCCAAGTAATCTAAGTCTCCAAGGGGCTTCTGACATCTGCCTCCAATAGGGTAGATTCCAGCTGACATGCACGAGAGGTACCTGAGTGTCCTTTGCTCTTCTCAGACTTTGTTAACCCTGCTGCCATTTCTCAGCAACTCTTGGACCCCACACCGGACCTTTCCATGTGCCTCTAGCCAGCCTCGAGCCAATGCCCCTGAAGTCCCCAGGGGAAGCCGCTCACCCCAGGTCAGAGTGTTCACATAACATTGTTTGGCAGCTTGGCAGCTAGAGCCTTCTCCCAGAGGAAACTGGGGCTTCATCTCATTGCCCACAATTTTGGTCTCAGCATTCAGGCCCCCAGGAGAGAAACTGTACCCTCTACCTTCACCTGACAGACATCCCCAGGAGTCCTCATCCACCTCTGAGCAGCCTCCACATCCTGTTCCTAACAGCCACCTGGACAGGGAAAGATACTGTCAGTTTGCCCCTAGGCATTCAAAGGAAACCTTTTCCAACTGACATCAGCCCACAGGCTGCAGACTATGGTGGTCTGTCCTCTTCCAGATCCACCTGTCCGCAGGCCAAGGTTGCATTGCCAGGGCCACAGCGGCTCCAGGGTTTCTGTCTTTGTCCACATCTGTCTTGCTGCTCAGGGACAAGCTTTCAGTCCTGCTACGTTAGTGTCTGTGTAACTGGTTTACACTTCCTTCACTGCTCCTTTAAACTTCATCGGTAAGCTATTTTTCCCACCCGTGGATGAAATTTCAGGCGAGTCTTATAGCTTTCCCACTCATTCTCAGATAATAGAGAGCCTCTTGTTTTGGCATAAAGAGTCTAGTTCAGTCTACTAATGAAATAACTCCAGCCCAGCCTGGTTTGAATGCACAAACTTTCAAATTTATATCCAATTTAGAGCCTGCCCTGACCCAGGTCTGACGGATTATGGGAAGTTAGTTTGGGACACCTGGTAGCAGGGGTGGAAGTTGTCTTTCTATTTTCTATCTCCTCCTCCTCTCCTATTCCTTAACCTCTGACCCTCCCAGAGGTGGATCCAGGGGCTGGCAAATGAGCAGGCAAGACTGTAGTCTTCTGAGGGTGATGAACCCGTTTTCTGCTGTTGGTGTCCTGGGACGGCAGGTGCATGATGGCTGGCCCACCCTCCCTGGGGTGCTTTTGTGGGTTCCGCAAAGATCCCTCCAATGGAGACCTCCCATGCCATCCCCTTCAACAGCTGGGCATCTTCTCCCTCAGCCCAGGCTTCAGTGGGGCACCCCTCTGGCTGGGTCACATGGACCCTCCTAGGAGTTGCACTGGGCAGGTCATATTAGGATGATTACAGGAGCTTTTGTCATTATCCACATCAGGTTCAGGCAATGATGTCCTGCCCAGGTAGAAGGACAGTCCTTCCACACAAGCCACTCCAGACAAGCCACTCCAGCCTCATTCTTGGGCCTTTAGACTTCTTTTGGTAAATATTAACACTCCATTCTGTGGCCTCAGACAGTCCAGGGCATAAATGGTAAGCTCTCCAAGGAGTTCTCTTGAAAGCCATTTCATTTAACTTGAGATTAAAGGGAAAATATGATAGCACACTAACAACTCTTTCTAAACTCTCAACCCCCTCCACCTCAATTTATTACAATAGTGAGGCAGGTGATGGGCTAATCCTGCAGAAAGGTTCTACAGTCTCTCAGCATTTATTGTTAGGTGGTCTAGCACCTCAAGGCAGGGTACGAGGACACTTGGCATGTGTTAAATGTGAGCATCTTGTCACACGTATTAGGAACACTCTGACAAGAGAAGCGAGGCTGGAACATTGTAATAGAAGGAGGAGCAGGAAGAGCTAGCAGAGGAGATGGAGAGAAAATGAGAGAGCAGGGTGTTCACGAAGTCAGGAAATAATGTGTTACAAGCAAGAGTGGATTGTTTGGTCAGGTCTGCCAATGAGTTGAGTATAACACAGTCTGAGAAGTGGCCAATGGATCTGGCAAAATGGGGGCTGTTGGCATCCTTGATAAAAGCCATGTCAGAAGCATTCAGGGCCACTCCTGGTCCCGTCCTGCCTTCCTTTCCCAGCTCGTCTCCTTCTCATCTGCGAGGGCTCTGGGCTTCAGCTACATCAGACTGTTGGCAGTGTCTGGATATGCCACCTCCACCCACCACAGGGAACTCCTGTTCATCTTTCCGGATGGCAACAGAGACAGGCGATCTGTTTCTTCTCGGATACAAATCATTCTCTCTCCCACTCCTTGCCATTCTCACCTCACACCACTCCTCTCTCACTCACTGAGCTGCGGCCACAGAGGCCTGCTTTTTCTCGAACACACCGGGCACACACCATCCTTGGGGCTTTGGCTCGGCTGTCCCCTGTTCCCCTGATATCTGCAAGACTTGCTCCTTCACCTACTTCCAAGGTTACCTTCACAGTGAGCTCTTTTCTTTCCTCTTTAAAACTGAACACCCCTTCTACCACATTCACCCTCCATCTTCTTTTCCTGCTTTACTTTTC